TAGAAACCCAGCCCCAGAGAACCTCAGGCATCAGCCTGATCTTGGATCATGACTCCTGCATTCCCTGAAAGTGAGACTCAAGCGTCCCCATGTTTGTTGGAGGGCAGTTCTGACTGACTGGTAGAGATTTGCTGACCTGCTAGCAACTAACTTGGAGGAAGACATACAGCCTCTGCTTGGGCAGAAAGAAAACCTTATCATTGAGTACCAGTACAAGAGAGTTTTCTGGGAAGCCCTAAGAAATCAGAGTGATGGTTTGTTCCCAGTGGGTTTAATGTTTGTATTATCTAACAGATATGGTTGAATACCCTTCATCAGTAAAGTTTTATTGCTAGCATTAATAAGAGTAAGTTTAATTATTCATGTTTCCATCACATTTTTTTGCAGGTGACTATGGATAGGGTTAAATGGAAAACTTTGAAGTTACCCAGACAAAAAATCCAAGCCTCTGGGGGAAATATAGAATGTTTCTTCTCAACTGATGGAGAAACAATGTAAGCTGGAAGAATTCATTATACCAGTTCTCCTTACAACAATGAAGTATGACTAGTGGAGACGTCAGACAGATAGAAACTTTTTTTTCTCCTATTTCTATAGTCAACATTAATCAAAAGCTGTTTGCTTTCACCTAGGAAGGAGTCCAGTATACTTTCACTGTCCTTCCCCAGGGCTACCTGAGCTCACCTTCATAGTACTCCATTATAGTGAACAGGTACCTGAAAGAGGCCTCCATTCCCAAGGACATTGATGTGCACCACTACACTGATGGCATAGGGTTGACTGATCCAGGTGAGGCCACAGTAGCTGAAACTCTGCTACATTAGATTGTGATCCATAGATGGGGAAAAGGGTACAAAATCAACCCTAAAAAATTCAAGATCCAGACCACTCAGGCAACTTTGGGTAAATACACTGTGTGGGGAAAACCCGGAAGATTCCAGGCACAGTCTATAATAAGCTACGGACCTCCACTTCCCCATAATTGAAGAAGGAAGCCCAAAGGTGCATTGGACTCTTCAGATTTTAGAGACTACACATGTCTTTTGCCAATGGATTGTGACTATGCCAGGGACTGAGGACTGCTGTCCAAGCACTGGAACTCTGCCTCCTCTGCTGGCCTACTGGGCACCCACCTATAAGGACTTAGCTCCTAAGGAATTCCATTTTGCCTGCTTTGCCAATGGCTCCATCTACTGGGAAAAAAAGGTATCAGCCACTAATGTGGTAAGAAGAAATGACCTAAGCCCACTCCTAACACCCATCCTGGACAGCTTCACTGAAATCATCCTCAATGCAATTGCAGATCCAGACACAATGATAGGGACAACAGCCAATGTGATTTTCATCTCTTCTGCCAGATCTCTATATTTTGAGAACTGGAGATGCTAAGATTTGGAATTTGGAGATCACATATATATGACGGCATCTCTAAAAATGTTGTTCTAAATTTTTTCTACATCAATGATATGTGATATGAATGTGGGCAACAGTTCAGATTGTGATCAGGGCCCAGTTCCAGTATAGTTTATTCACTGACTTCTCAAGGATATTTTAAGGTCTTTATTTGTAGTATGGCAATCGGCTAGTTGTCCATCTGTGACAGATAGCTTGCTTGTGATGAAGAGCTCTAGTTCTCCAATCACACCTTGCTAGTTATTTGGTAGATGTTAATTTTTTGAAGCCTTCAGTGAAGTATCACAAAATATTTAAGGTGGTTTCTTTGTGTAACAGTTAAGTGAGAGAGCTCATACATGTCACAGTGTTCCAAGGTCTGTTATTCTGAATGCAATCATTTGTATGAAACTGCACTTTACTTCTCGAGCAGTTGCTTAATTTTAACTGTAATGCTCCCAAGCTCTGTAGAGACTTAAGAGTGTGTTTAATATTTCATTGCTCATTAATAAACTTATGGCCTGTTTCTCAATAATTAATTGGTTTGAGCCCCTACTCTAGTCCACTAAATATGAATTATTCAATAAAATAAACTTCTTTTCCCAATACTAATTACTTTCACTCATCTATAATTAAATAAATATTTAATTTATCAAATTGTTCACTTGCTTCAGTCATGAACAGCTCTCCATGACCCCATTTGGGGTTTTCTTGGCAAAAATACTAGAGTGGTTTACCATTTCCTTCTCGAGCTCATTTTACAGATCAGGAAACTGAGGCAAACAGGGTTAAGTGACTTGCCCAAGGTCACACAGCTAAGAAGTGTCTGGGGCTAGATTTGAACTTAGTTCTTCCTGACTCCAGGCCTAGTGCTCTATCAATTGTGCCACCTAAATTACTGCATTTATATTGAATTTATTAACAAATAAAAGCAAAAATAAACATAAAGATGTATATAACTTTTTGAATATTGGGGATGTAACCAACATTATAGCCCATGTCTCCTCAATCCTCAATATAACAGTAATAGATTCCATTTGTCTGAAAACTCCACCTCAAATCATTTATCTCCAGATAATAATTAAAGTCTATTAAGTATCTTCATATGTCTCCACAGACCTAATTTTTTTCTTCCCCTTAATAATCCCAAGAGACTCAAAATTTCCAACTCTTTCTAGAATTCTCTTCATAATATTTTTTAATAAAATTAGTTAAAAACAGGTCTGAGAAGTGAGAAATTTTCTTCCTAACCTTTTCTTTCTCCTCCATGGATTCCAAATAAATCACAGAAAAAACATACATCTCTTCCCTGGATCCATGGTGAAAAGCTCTTCAGGTAGATATTTCTCAATTGACTTTTTAAACATAAAACATTTTTCTCAACATTCTGTCTTCATTTACTCTCTTAAATGGAGAGTAACAATTTGTATAACTTCTAAAGGAAAGGCTATTTTGAAGCAGATTACAGTTGCAAAATGTAGTCTGATCATTAAACTTGGGCTATTTAAGTATATTCCTTCTGTAACTTATGAGCTGATCCTGATTTGCCATCATAAATCCTTTCCTTTCCACAAAAAAATTCACAGAAGTCCACCATTTTTCATACTTCTCCAATGCCATGTTCTCACTCATGGGAGGCCTTTGATTCCATTCTTGGTTCTTCGTTTTTTTATAAGATTCATCTGGAGATAAATTACTTCCATTTACATTCAATAAATCCAGTGGTATGACCCTGTTATGTCTTTATCTCCAAAGGAGAATTTTTCAGTAGAGACATAAAATAGTACAGTTATACTTGAGATCAGCTTTATATTTTGTCTTTCCCAATTCAAATGTAAGCTCCTCGAAGGTTGAAATTATATCATTTCCTTGTATTTGTATCTTGAAGCACCTAACAGAGTTCCTGGTACATAGAAAATGTTTAATAAATAGCCTAGCTAGACAGCTATGTCTATCTCTCTACATACCTACCTACTTATCTTGTATGTGCCAATTTATACACCAGTTGTCTCCTCCACTGCATGAGTGGATCCTTTTCCTTTTTATTTGATCTCTTATGGGTATAAGCCTAGTACTGGTATTGCTGTGTCAAAGGAAATGCATAATTTAGTGACTTCAGGGACACAATTCCAATTGTTCTCCACAATAGCTAGACAGATTCACAGCTTGGCAAACAGTATGTCCAGGTGCCTATTTTTCCACAGGTTTAAGTATGGAGACCCAATTTGCATCCTAGAAAAATGTGGTAGAATTCCTGCTTTTGCTACTTTTGCAAACAGCTTTGCAGTGTTGGAATTAATTATTCTTTGGTTGTATGACAGAATATGCTTATAAATCTAGCTGGTGACAAGTTTTATTTTTCCTTTGGGAGATCACTTATGGTTTGATCAATTTGTTTTTATGAGAATGGGTTGTATAGATCCTCAGTTTCATGTTCCATTAATCTAGTAACTTTATATTTTTGTAAATATGCATCTATTTTATTTGTTCTCTGTTAACTTATAGTTCAGAAAAGCAATAATATCATTTATTTCTTCTTCATTTGTCCATTGAAGTACAAAATCAAAGGGACTTGGGGAACTCTGGCTTATTGTGTTCCCGTGTGTACCCATGGAAAAGCATGTTCAATGTTTTCCACTCTAATGTATCTGGACAAGGGTGACCCTGGGGTTACATCCATACATGTGCATGATTGTAAACTTCTTTAGAGCAGGAAGTGTTTCAACCGGAATTGATTTGATAACAGAAGGAATCCTAGGAGGAAAGCTTCAGAGAACTGCCCATCTGTGTTTTCCATAGGTTACTCTGGTCTAATAATGACCTTAACACAGAGGGTTTAAGAAGAATATGGAGAGAAACACATATAAATGGTAGGCTGTGTTCTTGATGCCAAAAATCAATAAGCGAAGTCTGGATCTTAACAATAAACGAATGACTGACATAATGGGAAATTTCTAATTCCAAAGTATACAGAATTCTAATACCCAAATAACGTCTACCTTTAACCTTGGAAATTTGAAGCTATAGCTCCTCACGTGACATAAGAGCATATCAGTCTTAAGTAACCGTGAGGTAAGTTTCAGTGAGAGAGACTGAAAATCCCCAATGAGCCATGCCCTTCCAAGTACAAGCTGTTCAGTTAACCTTCCCATGAGCCAATGCCAACATTTTATATTGCTACTGTCCTGACGTGGCTAGTAACAATAAACAGAGAGAAAACTAGGGGTGTAGTGCCAGAGGGCTGGCCTTGCAGGCTAGAGAATGGGAGTTCAAGTATAGCCTCTGACAATGAGTGGCTATGTTAGCCAGTCAGTCAATAAGCATGTATTAAATGCCTGGGGTGTATGAAGAGCTCAGGAGGACTAGCACCTCTAGTGTGAGGGCTTGCCAAGCCCTTTGGAGGGCTTCTCGTCCACCTTTGGTGTCCACCTGATTCACTCAATTCTTACCTGTGACTCCAAGAAGCTGTAGCATGCATAGCAGCCACACCCAAGTAAAACCATCTTGGCAAATGGGCTAAACCAGGGCGAAGGTAACTGACTGGCCACAAACCTGCCAGTGAGTTAGGTGGCGTCTACCCCAAGTATGTGATGACATCCTCCAGCAGAATGGGCGGGTGAGAACAATTTGTTCCAATGGCCAGGAAGGTGGCTAATGCAGGTACAATGGAATGCTTAGAGCTTGGCCAGGCATGGAAAATGCCAAGGTCATCCACCTCATCCTGAGCCATCAGCAGTTGTCCTGACTTTTGTCCTGCCACTGGACTTCCATGACTCAGAAAGAAAGAGGGGGCTGATGACCTTGTGCAACTCTGCCTCACTTAAACACAACTCATGAGCAAGTCATCAATCACCTGTGATGTCCTTGGTCCTTTTCTAAAACAAAAGACAAATAACAACAACACAACAACATTAATTGCCTACTGTGTGCTATGCACTGTGCTAAGGGCTGGGGATGAGCACTTATTAAGTCACCTAACCTCTGGGAGCCTATTTCCTCATTTATAAAATAAGGATAATAATAATAGAACCTAGATCACAGGTTGAGGCTCAAATGAGGTGATGTATGTAAAGTACTTTGCAGACTCTGAAAGAGGATATAGATGTTTGCAATTATTATGGTATATTATCAATCAACTGACACTTCTCTTAACAAGGAGATGGCAAGAGGAAACACAGAAGAGAAACAGAATGAGCACTCAGAGAGAATTCAGAAGACCTGGGTCTTAGTCCTGTTTCTGCCACTAAGAAGCTCTGTGATTGGACCAAATCACTTCCCCAGCTTGGGCCTTAATTTTCTCATCTGTAAAATGGCTGGAATAGATGATCTCTAGTAAAATGGGCTGCAGGATGAAATGGCAAACCACTTCAGCATCTTTGCCAAGAAAACCTCAGATGGGGTTACCAAGAGTCAGACACAAGAGGAAAACAACTGAACACAACACAGACAACAACAAATTCCCCACTCCTACTAAAGTTCTGGGACGAAAGAAGGAAGGCAGAGCCAAGATGGTGGAGTAAAAGCAGTGACTTGCTTGAGCTCTGCCCCAAACCCCTCCAAATACCTATTAAAAATGGCTCTAAACAAATTCTAAAGCAGCAGAACTTAGAAAAAGACAGAGTGAAACAAATTTCCAGTCCAAGATAACCTGGATAGTTGATCAGAAAGATATATCGTGCCAGGTGGGGAGAGGAGCACAGTTTGGTGTGGGCGTGCAGGCCACAGTGAACCTGGACCAGGCTTCAGAGGACTGGGCAGCTGTGGAGGTTTCCAGACTTCTCAACACACGAACGCCAAAGACAACTTAGAAGGTCAGTGGGGAAAGTCTGTTTCTGTGGTGAGAGAGAAGCGCTGGGTCCCAGGCCCCATTCCCCAAGCTCAGCCCTGGGGTGGCGGCTGCCTCCTGAGCTTCCAGTCCACAGACTGAGTGGGAATCGAGTGCCTGATCAGAGGGGGATTGCAGGGATTGCAGGGATCTGGTGCAGGATTCTCTTGCTTTGCCTGTGCTTGGATCTGGGTCACAGTTCTGGGTAGCTGTCCTAGGGCAAGGAGGAGCACTGGTGTGGTGGAGCTTGTAGTGGCTGTGGAGAGGAAATCCTCCTCACAGTTCCAAGACAGAAAAGAATGCTTGTGGTCACTCACAAACCAGAGCACAGGCCAGGAAAGGAGTAAACACCTCACCCTTGATCATAGCACCTTGGAAGAACTGAAAATTTACAGGTCCCTAGAAGTATCTCTGGAAACAGCTGCACAAAACCCCTGAAACTTGGGATGGTACATTCTCCACACTGGAAACAGACCCCTACCTTAACAAAGAGTTTATAACTCAAGTAATTGGCTGGGATCATGAGCAAGCAGCGAAAAAAGAGTCAGACTATATTATCTTACTTTGGTGACAAAGAAGATCAAAACACACAACTAGAAGAAGACAACGAAGCCAAAGCTCCTACATCCAAAGCCTCCAAGAAAAATATGAATTGATCCCAGGCCATGGAAGAGCTCAAAAAGGATTTTAAGAAGCAAGTAAGAGAAGCAGAGGAAAAACTGAGAGTGATGCTAAAGGAGACCCCCAAAAAATACTGAAGAAAATAACACCTTGAAAAATAGCCTAACCCTAATGGCAAAAGAGGCCCAAAAAGCCAATGAGGAGAAGAATGCCCTAAAAAGCAAAATTGGCCAAATGGAAAAGGAAGTCCAAAAGCTTACTGAAAAAAAAAATACTTCCTTAAAAATTAGAATGGAGCAATTGGAAGCTAGTGACAATTTGAGAAATCAAGGCACTGTAAAACTAATCCAAAAGAATGAAAAAATAGAAGAGAATGTGAAATATCTCACTGGAAAAACAACAGACTTGGAAAACAGATCCAGGAGAGAGAACTTAAAAATTATTGGACTATCTGAAAGCCACGGTCAAAAAAAGAGCCTAGACATCATCTTTCAAGAAATTATCAAGGATCGGCAAGTACAGGCTCCGCAACAAGAGTGAGGTGTGGCGGGTCCAGTTCACGCTGGCCAAGATCTGCAAAGCTGTGGGGGAGCTGTTCACACTGTCTGAGAAGGACCCACGGCGGCTCTTTGAAGGCGATGCCCTGCTGCAGCGTCTGGTGCCTATCGGTGGCCTGGACAAAGGCAAGATAAAGCTGGACTACATCCTGGGCCTGAAGATCGAGGACTTCCTGGAGCGGAGCCTGCAAACGCAGGTCTTTAAGCTGGGCCTGGCCAAATCCATCCACCACGCGAGGATTCTCATCCGCCAGAGGCATATCAGAGTCCAAAAGCAGGTGGTGAACATCCCCTCCTTCATCATGCGCTCGCCCTACAGAGGTGGCCAGGCTGGCAGGGTCAAGAAGAAGAACACGAAGAAGGACCAGGAAGGGGCGGGCACTGGAGATGATGAGGAGGAAGATTAAATGCAATGTCCCCCCCCCCCAAATTGGAATAAAGCTCTTTAACTTGTGGAAAGAAAAAAGAGAAATTATCAAGGAAAACTGCCCTGATATTTTAGAACCAGAGGGCAAAATAGAAATTGAAAGAATCCACCCATCGCCTCCTGAAAGAGATCCCCAAGGGAAAACTCCTAGGAATATTGTAGCCAAATTCCAGGATTCCCAGGTCAAGGAGAAAATATTGCAGGCAGTCAGAAAGAAACAATTCAAATATTGTGGAAACACAATCAGGATAACACAAGATTTAGCAGTTTGTACATTAGGGGACTGGAGGGCATGGAGTATGATATTCTGGAGGGCAAAGGAGAGAGAATTACAACCAAGAATCACCTACCTAGAAAAACTGAGTATAATCCTTCAGGGAAAAAATGGTCATTCAATGAAATAGGGGACTTTCAAGCATTCCTGAGGAAAAGACCAGAGCTGATATAAAATCTGACTTTCAAATACAAGACTCAAGTGAAACATGGAAGAGGTAAACAGGAAAGAGAAATCATAAGGGACTTATTAAGTTTGAACTCTTTACATTCCTGCAGGGAAAGATGATATTTGTAACTCATAAGTCCTTTGTCAGTATTAGGGTAGTGGGAGGGAAAAAAATTATATGCATGTACATAGATAGATAGATAGAGGGCACAGGGTGAGTTGAATAGGAAGGGGTGATATCTGGAAAATAAAATTAAGGGGTGAGAGAGCATTATACTGGGAGAAGGAGAAAGGGAGAAGTAGAATGGGGTAAATTATCTCACATGAAACAGACAAGAAAAGGCTTTTACAGTGGAGGGGAAATGGGGGAAGGTGAGAGGGAATGAATGAATCTTATTCTCTTTGGATTTGGCTTAAGGAGGGAATAACATACACAATGGGGTATGGAAATCTATCTTACCCTACAGGAAAATAATGGGGGAAGGGGACAAGAGAGCAGGGGGTTGATAGAGGGGAGGGCAGATTGGGGGAGGGGATAATCAAAAGCAAACACTTCTGAGGAGGGACAGGGTCAAAAGAGAGAATAGAATAAATGGGGGGTAGGAGTTTTTCACAACATGACTCCTATGGAAGTGTTTTGCACGACTACACATCTATAACCTGTATCAAAATGCTTGCCTTTTCAATGAGGGTGGGTGGAGAGGGAGGAAGGGAGAAAATTTGTAACCCAAAGTTTTAAAAACACATGTTAAAAATTAAAAATAAAAAAAAAGTTCTGGGACTCCATGGTCATGTTCCACATTGTTTTCCCAGTAGAAAATATCCTATTCTATTCCTACATCATTCTCCCTTGTAATTATTTCACTAAACTTTGGCTAATTAAATAGTAAGTACTTTGTTGTTGTTGAGTGATTTCAGTTGTGTCCAATTCTTCACGATCCCAATTGGGATTTTCTTGGCAAAGACAACTAGAAAAGATTGCAGTTTCCCTCTCCAGCTTATTTGACAGATGAGGTAACTGAGCTAATGGTTCAGTGACTTGCCCAGGGTCACACAGCTAGTAAGTGTCTGAGGCCAGACTTGAAGTCAGGAAGATGAGTCTTCATGATTCCAGGCCCAACACTTTACCCACTGCACCACCTAGCTGCCTCTAAACTCTTCATGACCCCATTTGAGGTTTTCTTCGCAAAGATACTGGAGTAGTTTGTCATTTCCTTCTTCAGATCATTTGACAGAGGGGGAAACTGCGGAAAACAGGATTCAGCATCACATAGCTAAAAAGTATCTGAGGCCAGATTCGAACTCAGGTCTTCCTGACCCCAGATCCAGTACTCTATCCACTGTGCCACTTAACTGCCAAATAATCACTTAATAATCACTAATTAAGGGAGAGATAGTATGACCTGGTCAGCCACCCCTAAGAGTCAGAAAGACCTGGGTTCAAGTCTTTCCTCTGACACATACTGGCTATTTGATCCTTGACAAGTCACCTAACATCTAGATTGTCCCAGAAAACTCAGACATTTTAAACTGATGATCACTTATTGAACTGCATTTGGAGAGGGAATTTCCTCATTGGCAATTCCCTGTGCTAAAGAATCACCAGTCTGGTCTTCCACGCTCTTCTCCCCTCCCTCCTCTCCCCTCCCACACAAATGAAAAACTGGCAGGATAAACACCTGTTTGAACTGGGCTCAATGCACATTTACTTATAGAAGTTGAAAGCACCTTTACCATTGTGATGTCTTCCAAGTTTCTGCCATCTGAGAGACCACAGGCATTGATGCAGTGGACAGAGCGCTGGATTTGGGATCACAGGGTCTGGGTTCAAAACCCAGCTCTGCCACTCATGACCTACATGACCTTGGAAAAGTCTAAAGATGGGGTGTGGTGAATCACGTGATTTGGAGAAATCTACCAAATCCGAAGGGCCCTGACCCTGGCTAGGTCACTGGTTTTTGCCCTTAGATGACCAGGTAGCTATATCAATATGGCCAGAGGCCACCAGGAAGCTGTGCCCACGGAGGCATAGCCTGAGCCTTACTCTGCCCCCAGTCAATTCAAGCCCCTGCTTTGTCACCTTACAGATAGATAGATAGATAGATAGATAGATAGATAGATAGATAGATAGATAGATAGATAGATAGATAGA